AAGAAATGTTATTTGATTGTGAAATATGCAGACTTTAGGTAGTATTAACAGAAATATCCTGTGTGAGATTCAAACCCAGTATTTTGAGACCAGTGAAGCTCATTTTCTTTTAGGGGCACCTGTACTACTAGTCTTACATATTTTTTGTCTTAGGTCAGAACTGCTTGAGTATCTAAATGAATACATACCCCTTCTCTCCTGCTTTAATGGAAATAACTTGAGTGGTTCTTGTCGGGGACCTAATAATACCTTCCATCCATGCTTTCTGATAAAAGCGTGCATCCCTGCTTTACTGTTTGAGACCCCTGGAGTCTGGGATAATAGCAGTGATCTCGTACTGCATGCATCTTGTTGTGAATGAGGAAGTAGTTGTGCTTACAGTGTGCAGTTGAAGCCAAGTTTTCACTGAAAAGATAATTAAGAACAGCTCGTTCACTTCAGGATCTCCCAGTGTAGAGGAGTTCTTCAGTAGCATAAATGCCAGGGGTCAGAGCTTGTCAGCATTAAGTTGCTGTGCTGTGTGCACGTATCTGTAGGCTCTACTCCTTTGGAGACTGTTTTCTCTGCTTTACCAAGAGAGAAGTGAATATGCTAGTGCTACTTAATGCTAAGACTGTTATGGCTGGTGAGCATCAATTCTGCACGAAGAATATTTGATATTAAACCATACGCTGTCCTTAAGTATATGAGAAATAAGCAGAAAAATATTAGTGTGCCCTTTTCCTTCTGTGCTAAGATTGGTGCAGACAACACGTTCTGCTTTCTGAAGGCCTCACATCCATTGGTGTGAAGGAACTCAGAACATAGGTCTCTATGTTAGTCTTGCCGTCTACACTGGAGATTGTGTGTTTGAGATTGAAGTCTCAGAAGGATTTTTAACTGTTTGGGCAAGCACAGAAGTGTGGTGTGATGCATGTAACCTGAAAAAGAACAGAAGAAATGGCAAATTTTCTCAGTAGTTACATGCAATGCACTTTTGACTGTCAAGTATATACAAATTCTTCCAGTCACTGGTCAGCAAGCAGATGTTTAATTTTATGATCTTAAAAAAATGTTGGGCCAATGATGTGATAGATATGCTGTCTTATGTAATGATGCACATATTTATAATCATGAGTTAGCATTTTTTGAATGAAGGTTCCACTGATGGAATAATCTAAATTCACATTAATTGCTTCATGTAGCTATTGTAATTGATGGTACAGTATTATGGGAGTGAAACACTGCATATGAATCTCCAAGCACTGTAACTGTGCTTCCTCCTCTCAGTCCCATAAGTTTCTGGGTCATGTAATATATGAATTGATGAGAACCGATTTGAGGGTAATCATGATTTGCAGGAGCTTTTCCCCTATTCTCCAGTTCTAAAGGAATTAGGCAGACTTCTCATCATTATTTGTTCATTTATTTTCACTGACGGACTTTATTTTCAAATTATTTATTTTCACTGATGTGTGAGAAATACAGTATTACATAAAATGGGATACTTTCAGTAAGAAAAAGTAACTACACTTTTCTAATAATTAGTTTATTTGTTTTTTAGGTTTTGTTTGTACCCATTTGGTTTATTTAAAACAAAACCAAAATCTGATATTTTGTACTGCTGGAAGATTACTAGGTAATGTAGGTAGAATTCTGCAAAAATATTCACATGGGGAAAATGTACAAATCAGTGTAGGGTGTCTTGCTTATCTGATTGGACAATTTCTGTTTTCCCTCTAGCTCAGTAAACAGCAGCAATATGTTTGTCTTCACTCTAGCTTGATTGAGATTAGTGTCAGTAAGAGAAGTTTGACTGTTTGAAGCACAACAGTAGGTTTTGTGCCTTAATACTCTGCAGAAATACCAATGCAAAGTGATCAGATGCTCTTTTCTAAAAGCAATGAAATAATCTGCATTCAGGCCAGTATCTGGCATGTGAAGTTACTGCCCTGTAAAATTTTACAATCAAGTTATGAAACAAATATATTTTATGCTGATGTGCAGACAAATGTTTATTAAAGCAAATGTCCTGTTTTGTTGCTCCAAAAAGTTACAATTCCAATATGCTTCATTCCCTGCCTCCCACCCTCCTTTTTTTTTCCCTATTGAAGTGATTCTAAGACACTTTCCAAAGTGAAAGACTTTAAATCTTTGTTAAAATAAGCTTTGTATTTTGAGGACTGAGTTGGGGGGGAGGAGGAGAGGAATTAAAGAAAAAAAACGTGCCCCTTAAGTAACCTTTTATTCTGATTGTCTTGTTAGCAGCCAGTGTGTTGGATAACATAATGCAGATGCTTAGGACAGGTTTACGAAGGCAGATGGCGGGTGGGGGGGGGAGTGGAAAACTAGAAATGATTCTACTTTTAAGAGTATGTGTTTAAGAGAATGGAGGTCATGCTTTGTAGAACCCCCTCCACAGTAAAAAATGAAACACCCTCAGATATCCATATATATACATAAAGGTATATGTCAATACAAGCTATAGTACCTTTTTCATCTATATATTTGAGTGGATTAAATATTACAATATTAAAGTATCGCCCTTCAGCTTTACTTCTTTCAAGGTAGCAAAATACAATGTCAGCACACATTTGAGAAATGCCTTTATGTGAATGGAACTTAACAAGCTGTTTTTTAATATATATAAATTAATTCCTTCTTTCTGCAGTCACTGACTTTCACTGTTCTGTTCCATGGATGTGTTTTAGATCCAAATCAAAATCTCAGCTGACCATCTATTTCAAACTCAGCAAGACAGTTCATAGTACTGCCTCTTAAGACCCATGTGTCTTGATCATTTTCTTTCACTGCAAGATGCCTTTTTTTTCTTTCAGTTTTCTGTATTCATATTGACTCCTATTTGGTTTGCAGTTCAACATCATCTCTTCAGAGTGATGCTTCAAGTACAATTTCTCCCACTGTTCTGGAGCAATCTCTTCTGTACAATTCCAGGTTGATGTTCTTGGCATCAACCGTGGCATGAATTCATTTCTGATGCATAAAGTGCTTGTCTAGTAGTTGTTAGGTCCTTGTTTGATATATCCTTATATCACTTATTTGTTGCTCAGAATGGGCAGTTCTTGGGTGCCTGTTGCATAATCTGTCCAAAGAAAAACCACCCAGCAAACAAAAACCAGCGTAAATTTTTCATACGCTGAGCCTCACATGGGACAAGCTCCTAAACATCTGCAAGGTTACTTTGCTCTTCCTCCAAATTTCTTTAACAGGCTTCTGTTCTTAAGATGTTACAAAAAGGCATGGTTAGTGCTAAATCTTTTCAGAAATGGAGAGTGCTACCTAAGGTGCACCAATGACTTTGTGTTCATTGGTTAATTGGTCTGTCTCAATCTGTTCTCCCAGACTATCAAAAGATAGCAATATGTTTAATAACCACTTGTATAGAGATTCCAAAAGGATTTGTATACAATCGTGGAGGAGTATTTCACCGGGGAGTGTATTGTGAGCATATGGGTTCCTGTTGGGATCATCCAGGCCCGGCTGTTCCCATTCTCTTCATTCTCTTAGTGTGTGCTCCCTGCCTTCACAAAGGGAGGTGCACCTTCCCACTTCACGTTCAGGATCCTGCATTCCCTTGGAACTGCATCTGCAGGCAGGCAGTTTGCAACCTGTAGGCTCTTCACGAGACACCTCCTTTCGGCAAGCAATGCCCCAGGAATGGCTGTTCTTTCAGGGTAGCGCCTACCTGTATTTGCCAAAAAAAAAAAAAAAAAAAAAATCCTGGGTGGTGATGCATAATACAAGAATTGAAAATGATTTCTGATAGCAAATGCATATGAAGACTGAACGTTTTGTTCTGCCGTGAGCTGGAAAATGTTTCAGCTTGTGGTTACTCACATGTTAGTTGCACAATCCCGATGTTACCATATGTTTAGTTCGTGTTAAGTCATCACATCAGTTTCATTTGCACTAGCTAATGTGTTCTGGGAACTTCGGATGTCTTTTGAACTAATAACATTTGGGCAAGAGAGTGTAGAGAACCTCACGTTAGTCTGATTGTGCTTTAATCTTGGTTAGGAAAAGTCATCATCAAATATGAGTGTAGAGAAAAAATAGAAAAAAAAAACCCTATTATTTTTTTCAGGCTGCAAAGAATGTGCAAATTTGTTTTCAAATGGAGCATTTAGATGAGAACTGGATTTAGATCAGCAATCTGTACAGCCATCACCTCTTATTTTCCCACTTTGAACTGGTAACAAAAGGGATAAAAGATTCTGCTCAACTAGTAAGCGAAGTAGTAAACAAAAAGTCCTCTCCTTTTTGTGTTTTAAATCACTGGTGCTTTTAGGAAAACGTCATGCTGATGTGCTGTCTGCAACCTACACCCAGACTTTCTGGTGCTCCACAAGAGTAACTTACGAGAAGGGCAATTTCTTCACAAGTGATTAACCACCTGTGGTGATCACTTTCAACTGCAGTGTGTTTATTCCCCCCTCTCCAAAAAAGGAAAATACACAGAAAACCACAAGACATAAAGCAGCTCGTTACAAAAAATGCTCTGAGAGAATGGACAGCGTAGTTGCAATACTAAATGCTTTATGTATTTAGACTAGCGTTTCTTTTTTTTCTTTTGACCTTACTACAAACTAATAAGCATTGGTCAAAACCATAAAAGTTGTGAGCAGGGAAGAAAATTGCACACATAATTTAGTCACAAGCTTCCTAGTCTACTAAAGGTTTTCTTGACTGTTGTGGAAAGCACCTATGCTTTTGTCCCAGTAAATTATATACCTTAAGGGTAGCAAAAAAATGCCCCTAAAAATACTGTTAGGAGCCGATGAGAGAAGTGTCTTTGCATGTATTCAGAAGAGAAGAAAGCCTGTAGCCAGGATGTCCTGCAGCGGAGAAATAATGATGGAATTGAGCCTTTTGTGTGGCTGTCAATCATATGATAAAATCCAAAATATGGTCATTGGCTGAGCTAATAGTGTTGTGAATATAACACTTGTTAACTATGCTTTCCCATAAGATTCCACTTATATGTGTGAGTTTTGTTATTTCCCGTGGCCTGAAATTTTTCAGATATTTTTTAACTGATATTTTTATTTTTCAATTGAAGTAGCAAAGATGTTTCTGAGACTTCTTGGGAATAAAGTGATGGGGATTTTTTTCAACTCCATTAACTTAGACTTCCCAGTCTAAGTTAAAAAGAAGAGAAGATTTTTAAGTTGTTTTTTTTTTTTTTTTTTTTTTTTCCCCCCACAGACTTGATGTGTAATTGAAAAGCGGGGAGAGAGAAGGAGCAGTTTCAGGAGATGTGTGAAGGGAGAGGGCTGGATCTGTGGGAAACAGAAAGTGATGGGTAATTACTAAGGCTGATGAACATAATTAGCAGGTAAGGTCAGTGCAGGAATAGCAAGAGGCTGAGTCAGTGAGACATGCATCCAAGCATTTAGATTTTCCCTACCCGACATCTGGAGTTGAACCTGAAGAGGCCACTGTTTCACCATCCCTTTCCAGACAGTAATCATCCACAAAATTAATAGCAAAATGCTTTTCTCTGTCTTCTAGCACTGGCCCATAGAGAGGCAAACTGTCAAGGAACAGAAGAGTTGGTGGAGGGATAAAAATTGTCATAAGCAGATTACCAAGCTCAAAGCAAGCAAAAGGTTGACTCTCTTGGGGCATGTACATAGCGACTGAAGGAACTGGGGCTGTTTAGTCTGGGGCAAAAGGAGGCTGAGGGGAGACCTTATTGCTTTATTCCAATATTTGAAAGGTGCTTACAGTGAGAGCAGGGTTGGTCTTGTCTCACTGGTGACAGGTGACAGGATGAGGGGAAATGGCCTTAACTAGCACCAGGGTAAATTTAGGTTGGATATCAGGAAAAACTTCTTTACAGAAAGGGTTGTTGAGCACTGGAATAGGCTCCCCAGGGAGGTGGTTAAGTCACCATCCCTACATGTGTTTAAAAGCCATTTGAATGTGGTGCTCAGGGACATGACTTAGTGGAGGGTTGTTAAGGTAGTATGGTTAGGTCCTGGTTGGACTCGATTATCTTTAAGGTCTTTTCCAACCTAAGCAATTCTGTGATTCTATGATTCCTTGTGACAATAGGCATGTGCTGTTGTTTCTACAGTTCTTTTAATTCAAAGAGAAAGCAGACCCTAAGAGTGATCCAGAGCTATGCTGTGAAGAAAGAAAAAATAAAACCACCTGTATTTTTGTGTTAAAAACAGCAATGTGGATTCCACTTCTGCTGCTGGGCTTCTAATCAGAGGCAGGTGAGTCACTCAGAAATGCTCACAATGCGTGTTTTTATTTCCTGGGTGCACCAGTTTGCCTGTGCCTCGTTCCGACAGAAAAAGGTGTTCACAGATAGCAAAACTTCACTTTAAGCACGGGAAGCTACAGCAGATACTCGATTTCGGAAGAATAAAGTTTTCAGGATGGCTATTTGTTTATTTTGGTCTCTGTATAACCTGTATGCACAGGGCTGTATAACTTCTCTGTGCTGGAGCTACTTGAGTGCCCTGCCCGCAGGGTGCTTGCTACTGGTGGGCTCCAGTCGGGACAGGCCCCGCCGGGCCGCGCTCACCCTCAGGCGGCCGCCATGCGGACACAAGGGGGCGCTGTTGTCGCGGCTACGCGGCGGCCGCCGACGCGGGCGGCGCGGTCCGCTGCCGGCTCCCGCAGAGTTACGGCAGCAGGTGCTGCGGTGATCCCGAGAGCCGGCTGCGGGGGAAACAAACGTGGCGTGGAACTCCTCAGCGCCTTTGAATGCTGTCGATTTTTATGCATATTTTCCAGCGTGATAGCCTTGTAAAATCCGAATGAGTCAGATGTTTAGGTTTTTACAGCGTGTAGAAACGTGAGTGCATAAAGCAAAGGGCTTTGTTGTCCAGCTGTGGCTGCTTTAATGTGTTTTTCTCAGAGCTGTAACGCACAGAGCGAGCAGCATTGTCTGCTTTCTTTCTTTCACAGAGATATCTTAATTAATGAATAAGATACAGATTTGCTGAGGTTTGGGGGACGTGTTTAAGGAGTGGATTGTTTAGAAAATAGGTTGGTTTTGTGGGCAGCGCTGTGTGAGGCATGGACACACCTGTGTCAGATGGAGCGCTTAAGGACTGCAGGCTTCAGATAAGAGCCAGGATAGGTGAAAGCATTTTTTTCTTCTCCCTGAAGTGTCTGATGTATTACAACGTTCAAAGCATTTCAGTATGCTTATATTGTATTCACACATATGCAATGTATTTGAAACATTCCTACCGAGGAGATTGTGGTAAAAGCTGTAACGTGCAGCTTGCTGGGTTTCATTGTGAAGTAATATAATCTCCACATGTGCGAAGGCCAATGCAATATTTTATTTTTTGCTTACCCCAGGGATTGTGATATTAAATTTATCAGCTGAAATACTTGAATGAGAACTCGTAAATATTTTTTGAGGTGCATCAGTGGCGTACATGGGGAGGGAGAAGACGTGCAGCGCTGGGGGAAAAGGAAGCTGTTCTTACTTCTCGTTCTTTTCTGTCAAATAACAGCTCTGCGTTGGCCTTCAGATGGAGTACTGGTAAATTTTCTCAGTGATTGAAAACAAGTTTTAAATTGGAAAGAATTTGTTACTGGCTGATCTTTATTGATAATTCAGATATTCACCTGTATACAGTGGTCTGGATAGGTAGAGGAGAAGATAATGGCCTTAGGTTGCACTGGGGAGGTTCAGGTTGGCTATTAGGAAAAACATCTCTGGAGGAGTGGTGAGACAGTGGCACAGGCTGCCCGGGGAGGTGGTAGGGTCACCATCCCTGAAGGTGTTCAAGAAACATGTGAATGTGGCACTGAGGTGCATGGTGAGGATGGCTTGGTGGTTGGATTAGGTGATCTTTTCCAGCCTTAGTGATTCTGTGAGGGTTATCTAAAAGAGAGGTATTGATGTGAAAAGGTATCATATGCGTGGGAGAGACCATTGGACTTTTTTTATGCAATGCACTGTAATTGTAAACAAACTAGCTGAGAGAATCTAGGAGTCTATACACTGCATTAGGAGAATTATATTCTAGAGCTTAAGCAAGTATCTCTGCACAGCATTATCCCATGTTATGTTTTAGTCACTTGCCTGAATGTAATTTCGGCATTTCAAAACAACTTTGTGGTGATCTGGAATAATCCAAACCATGTTGAGTTACCATTCTTTGCTACAATTGGCTCAGTGTTCTGCTGCAGCCAAAACTGCCCCGATTGGGATAGGTACTGAGAACAATTTTCTCACTGTAGAAAGTCTTTTATGCCCCCACATCTTGATTACTGCATGTATTCTTGATGCTCTCCTCATCTCATGAAAAGCATAGTTTGAAGAGGAAAAAAAGATTTTAAACAACAAGGTAGGAGTAAGTACACTGAAAATTATTAAGGGTGTGTAACAGCAGGCTCGCTTCAGTTTGGAGAGGAGGCTGAATAGAGATGGGCTTGATTTACCATATCAAGAGCAGTGCAAAAGATGAGTGCCAAACTTATTTACCAGATCCTGTAATAGCAGTCTGGGGATGTGGATTGAAACTGATAGGAGATAATTTAAAGTGGATTTTAAAAACTGTATGCCTTCAAAGCATGTGATAAACCTTTGCAACTTGCTGTTGCAAGACTGTGAAGTCTTAAGACACTTGCAGCATATCAAGAACTTCAAAGCGAATTAGATGGATAAAAGGTGCAAATCAGATACTTTTGGCAATAGGTAAGAGTGTTCCTGATGACATCCATAATCTAAAAGCATGATGCAGGATGAGTATGAAGATTGGACCTCAGTATCTTGTTCCATGTGCTCTCCTTGAGCAAATTCTGCAGTAGCCACTGTGTGAGATAAAACTGGGCAAGTGGATCACTGATGTCATCCTGTGGGCATTCTTGATTGGAAAGGATATGGTGGATGTGCTTCCATAAATGATGAAAGAACCCAGATGGCTACCTAAAGCCTTCTTTCATTTTCACAGCCATAAGAGGGTACAAAAAGAATCAGTAGCATTTGCAGAGAGAGCAAGTGAAGAGGAGGTGGCTACTTTGGCCCTCAGATGGTCAAAAAACTTGGGTGGCTAGAATGTTTTTTCTAGACTTTTTTTAGGAATCTCTTTGATTAGCATCTGGCTCAAGAATGACGGTTAATGGGAGCTGTAGGAGGGCCGATGTACTGAGTTATCAGAGTGATGGAAACAATAAGCCTTGGTCATCATGAGAAATACATTACTGTGACGAACTTCTCTTGGAACCACTTGTCAAGCCAGCTCAGAAACTGATGTCTGAAGGGTTGAATTTGGCACGTTCTCTATTGCCCAGCGAGCATATTGCCTTTGTGCACCAGAATGAGGTGTTTCCAAAAGGAACTGAAAGTCATTTATTCTTTTGCTCCGTAATATATCTAATGACCCAGACCTGCCTGTGTTAGAGAGCAGCTCATCTCCTTCCACAATATTTCACCCACCAGGAAAGGTGAGCTGGCACTTTTTTGGTATAGTAATGAAGGAGCTCTTGGCACTTTAGTTGGCATTTTTCCCTTTGATCTAAACTAGCCCATGCACATAGATTTCTCTGGCACACTGCAAAGCTCACCAGTTCTCTCAAGTTTTTCTGAGAGGAACAGAATAGTGAAGGTGGTGAAAGGGTGAGAGGGGGCAAGGATTTATTTGTTTTTTCTTTCTCTTAGCTGTTACTGGCTTGAGATCTGAGGAGCAAAGCTACATTTGTAATTTGTAAGGACTGTATTTTGAAATTGCCAGTTGCTCCAGATAATGAAGCAGGGATTTTTGCCCAGAGGAGAAGAAATGAAAATAAATAAATATGGATTATTTTCACCTAATTTACGATCTGCAAATGTGGTTCCTCCTCAACCTACATGATTAATTCTCTTCAATCAAGAGTGACCATCTTGATTACATCTTCTAACAATAAAAAGCCATGAAAACTTTCATAAGAGAAAATAAATCCAACAATATTAGATGACTGCAGTGTAGATCTTTTTGCCATTTGTACTGTTTTTAACCGTATCACAGCCAATATATAAATTATGGTACTTCACCTTTAACATCACTGTCAAACTGAGTATAGACAGTTTAATGGAAATTGCCCTTAGTTGTACCAACTGTAAATACAGTAGAGCTGGTAAACTGTTTTGTATGGGCAGCTTAAGAGCTAATACTACCTGTTGTAACAGATACTCATTACGATATAGTTGCTTTGTTTTTTCACTGTGTGGATGTAACAAGGTGAATTAGAAAGATTTGGTTGTGTGGTTTTTTTTTTTAATTTTTATTTTTAAAGTTGAATTCTATTAACATTTTTTGAGGCTCAGTGTTCTTTTATTGAAATATTTTACAGTTTAAGTGCTTATAGAAGATGGTTGATTCCCAAAGGGAAAAGTGCAGCAGTTGTGTGTTAAGGTCTCTGTTCAGACTTATCATCCCAGCCTCAGAAATGTGTTTCCACTAACCGAAGAGCATGATAAGCTGAAGGAGAGGGTGTGCAAGTTAAGCATTTGGCAATGCTTCCACTGGAGCTGCTGTGCTAGGGTAGTAGTAGAGGTTCATGAAGTGAGGTGTTCTTTCGAGTCTATCATGTCTCAGCTACTTTACAATCTCTGGAGGGTCCCAGGCAGAGTTTCTATGAGCTGTGCCTTGGTGTTCACCAGATAGTACATGTGCTGCAGATGTTTTAGCTTGCTCACCTGAAGTTTATGATAACTACAGCACGTGGTATGTTTTGGATGATCTCAATGGTAAGTCTAGTATCTTATTTCTGAGGCATTTTTGTTGCATGAAGCAATAAATTCAATTCTGTCATCATTAGGCAGGTGTTTATATGTACTGCAAGACTTTAATCTTTCCCCTGGGAACAAAATACTTTAGGGGGCCATTCTACTACTTGGTGTTTGCTTTCCATCTCTGGCATGTTTCTGTTTCTCTCTATGCCAGGAGAACATGGTTTTATGGTTAGGATGCTGGCTTTGGATTGTTTCCCGGCTCTGCCAGTGATTACTATGAAAGCTGGAACATGTCTGTCTTTCAGCTCACCAACCTCAGTGTGAGGGTAGCAGCTTCTTTTTCTGCCATGCATTTCATCTGCTTAACCTGGAAGATCTTCAGGATGTAGACTGTGCTGTGATAAGTGTGTGTGTCATGGATCCTACTCCTGGACAGACCTTTACACAAAATCACCATCTATCAGCAATAGTGGAACAGAAGTTTAATTTATGGAATACTTGTTGAAGAGCTCCCCAAAATACAAATGACTTCCCAGCATTCTGTGTTTTGATGGTCATGTGATATGCCAGCTAACGTTTTTGTTACATGACTGCTGTAATGTTTGGGCTTGGGAGAATGTCGTTGTGTATCACATTTATTTCCATTTAAAAAGTTTACATAGGTGTTGAGCTGATTTATAATTGGATCACGAGTAACTTTTATTCATACCTCCCCAAGTCTCATCCATGGAATGTCTCCTTGGTTCCTGTAGGAAGTCTCAGTGGTTCCTCCCATCTTGTTTCTGACTGCCATGATTCCTTGGTCTTAAGACACTTGCAGCATCTGAGCAGCCTGGAAAACCTGGAATCCACTGATTGCTAGTTGCTGAGCAACTGAAATTTTGTGCTGAACTTTAGTGAAAATTAAGTAGCCATCAGAAAATTAATAAAACAAAGAACAGAGGTGGAGGAAAACACATTGAAGCTGCTTTAGGTTGAGAATTTAGAAGGCCATTGGCTCTTACCATCAGACAACCACAGTGGAAAAGAACAGCATTTTTAAAGATCTCAGTCTTGGGAGAAAACTGACAAAAAATTCAGCAGGCAATGTTAAAACAATTATCTCAAGGAATTCTGGTCAACTGAAAAAAAAAACAAAAAATGTTTCCAAGTAGACTTCCCATACTTAAAAAGCAGCATGGTAGGATAACGGTAAGGCAAACAGTCAGTGAGAAGCTCAAACAAAACAGTTTTAAACATGAGGTAATTTGTTGTACACAAAATTAAGACATCAACTATCACATGCATCATGCAGTTAGATTGATGCTTCCTCTTAATCATAGCTCTATTAAAAAAAAAAGAAAAAGAAAAAGAAGAGTCCATTAGGTTAGGATAATATGTGTTTTACTCTTGAAAACATTTACAAATGCATCATATTATAAAATACATTATAGTCTAATACTTCAGAAATTTGTGCTGATACAAAGGAGAATTTTCCACATTGTTATTTTGCAACTTGTAGTTTGTTTATTTAAGGAAAAATACACCATAATCTGATTCTTTTTTTTTCCTGGAGACACTAGGAAAATTTAATTGTTTCTTTTCCTGCCACCACTGCATATGTTCACACACATACAAATATGTGCATGAACAAACACGCTCTCCAAGAGGAGGCACGTTTCCCCTGAATAGGGAAAAGAGGCATTGTGCTTGCAGATATTCATATTATCATATATATATATTTTTCACTTTAATAATGCTGTTAGAGTTCCATACACATTTTTACTTAAAAATCTGAAGTATTTACTTACCTTCTAAATGTGTAATATTTAATGAGAATATTTTTATTTGAGCAAACAAGTATCCATGTTAATAGCCATTTCCCATGTTAGGAAGTTTCTATAATAGTGATGTTTACTGATTTCTCTTCTGAAGTAATCCAGTCCTTTCATTTTATTTTTCTAGGTGGAGACGGTACCTGCTCTGCGGCAAGACTTTGCAGCCAAGAATGGTGACATCTCAGGGCCAGATGGAGAAGTGGGGAACAGAGCCCGATTTGTAGTTCAGAAGATGCAATCTTGAACTGGAAATGGGGAGAGAGAAGTTTGCTCCTTGATGCTCAAGCAATTTTTTGAAACTTTTGGTTTTCTTTCTTCAGTGACTAAGATGCTGAAGCAATCCATGGGACAAAATACCAGAACTGATTGTTACTTTCTTCTGGTAAGTGATCTGATCTCTCTCCTCTATTGTCTCTTTTTATGGCTTCACGACTGATTTAGCAAACCTATCTATCTACAAGTTAGTTATAATTTGTGACTCCTTATTGTTGATGTGCAAAAAAAAATTGAGATCACTTAGTTTCATCTTAAGGTAGATATTTAAAATGGTCAATGAATGAGGAGACTGCTTCTCAGGAACAGTAAAGTGAGCCTGCGATGACCAACTCAAACATCTGCCACGTACCCCTGGTGCAGTCTGTTGCTATTCTGTGAACAAAAGTAGCTCAGGCCAGATCTGGGTCCACTGTTTATGTATCCCCCCTTTCGTTTGTTACAGAAAAAGCTGGAATTAGATGGGGTTCAGTTTTTTTTTCTTCATGTGCTTCCATCTAGTGTCTAAGTAGTTGCCGCTAATATTAAAACGTTTCTCAGATTTGTAAAGAATGGAGAGAATCTCTCTCCTAAAAGCAAACAAACAAAAATCTAAACCAGACCAACCAAGCAAACAAACAAAACCCCAGAAATTCCCACAGAGAGTGAAACGCATTGTGCTCTGTTAGTGAACTGTATGTGGGGGAAGGCACTGGAAGGAGATCAAAGGCAGGGTCAGTGCTTAAAAACAGTGTGCACACAGCTCCAAATGGCCACTTTACCCTGACCACAACCACCTAAAAACTGTTCAGAGTTGCAGTTTTACTCTCAGCATGCAATCTGGATATACCCCAAAGCTCAAATTGCAGCCCAGGAGACGCAAACCCACATGGACAGTAGGGCATGCTTAAAGTCAGTTAAATAAATCCCAGCAAATGTAAGCACAGTCAGTTGCCCCTGCTCTTAAAGCAAGAAGTACTAACAAGTAGGAGTAGACAGTTGGGCCGTTCAACCACATGTAAACTCTAAAATCTGGATTGAAGTCCTTGAAATAAAATTCTTAGCAATGAAGAGTCCCAGTGTGAAAGAAGATACTTGCCACCTCTTCCTCAGCACCTATACTCAGGATGGTTGAAAAGCAATGGATACGATATATTGATTGCTCTGAAATCTTAGAAATTCTGACGCGGAGCACACATCACTTCATGTCCCTTTGTTATAGGGAATCAGAACTGTGTGCCCATCTTCTGTACAAAACAGCTGATAGGATTTGTAGTTCTATTGAGCTCTAGCAATATAGAACGTGAGCAAAAAAAGCATATACCCATGTTGGGTGTCAAAATCATTGAGCAAACATGTTGCTCCAGGTTGGGTCTGAGATCTGTGTTGTATGCGGAATGCATACATCAGTGGTGAGCCCTATGAAGGCAAGGAGGGAGAACAGAGCTAAAGTGGTGTTGCTGTAAGACTGCATCTCTTCCAGCTGACAGCCACTTCTAGCTGTGCTTGTCGCAATGCCAGTCACAAATCTCCCAAAAATTCTGGAAGTGCCCATGGAACAGTTCTGCCCTCATGTCTGAGTTACACAGTCTTAATGTGTTGTTTCCTGATTAGTACCTTCTGGAGTATCTCATTTGTCATTCTTGAGGTAAACAAATTATTAGGAGGTGTATTACAGCAGTAATGCATTTCGTAAAGCTTGGAGCATTACTGATTTAACTGTGGCAGAGACATTCAGTGAAAACCACTGTGAGGCTGTGCCTTTTCTTAGAGCAAGAAATCACTCAGCTGATGCTATTATAAAACATTTGATAGTTATTAAGTGGTTTTCCAGTAATTTTTCAGTGCTTAGCAGAAAACATTATCATAAGTGATATACACTAATTTTCTGTTGTTTATATGTGTATGTAGTGTAACCTCCATTAAAGTGCCATTACATTTGTGGAAAAGATTCTGTAGAAATTACCTGGTGGTCTTCCAAATTTATTCTTTCAATGACTCTGGATCAAATTTGCCTACTTTAAACAATATATTTTAAAATTGACAGTGGTGTGGATTCCACCTGGGATCAAGTTGTGTTCTTTCTGTGTCTCACTAATGATGAAGAAGATTTAATTACTTAGCTGACAATGTTATTAATGATGAGCATGAGAGAAGAGAGTTGGGCCTTGGTGCCGTTCCCCCATTTCAGGGCTTGTCGTAACTGTAGGATTTTAACAGGGGGAAAATCTATGCTGGTTAGTCAGGTAAGAAGATACATCTGGATGAAAAAGACCACGTTCAGTTGGAAGGTGCCATAATGAAGTTTTTCTAATCATTGTGATATTTTAAGGCTAATGAGTGTTGAGCATCTTAAATTACTAAAAAGCTCACTTCATTGGTGATTGTCTTCTGTTTTCTTCAACTTTGACTCTGGAGAACTTCTGTGAGAGTAACCTGAAACCATAAAACCCATCCCAGATTTTTTTTGTGTGTTACTGTTGGACATTGCCCAGGATCCATCAGAATGTGCTTCACTCATCACTGCTCTATCAGCCCTCTCCTCGTTTCCATCAGTCCAGAATTCATTTACTGTCCATTCTGTGGCTTCCCCAGAAGTAATAGGTCTGTCTGCATTCAAACATTTTGCATATACAGCTTTGTCAGCTAAGAGCACAGGAAGAGAAGAAAAATACCACTAATTAAACCAGCAGTTCTGGAGAATGTTCCTATACCGGGAAAAGCTCTATTGAGAGATACAACTTAAGTCACTTGGATAGCTGGTATAAACATTGCTAGCAAAAAAACTTCTTGCCAATAGACACCACATCTCCTTTAGGGGAGTTTGTGGTGCAAGCTACGTCAGTGAATACTTTGTCCTACAGAGAAGTCCCTGTTCAGAGGGTGAAAGTACTGTGATGCTAAAAGCTTGGGTTCATCTGAGCACCTGAGGCTGGTGTGCTGCTGTGGGATGAGTGGCGGCTCTGTAAAATCACTGTGGGGATGGAGATGAAGTATGGTTATATCTGGTCTGCTTTGTCCTGTCTCCGGGGTCCACCATAACCCATCTTGGTAACCTTCCTGCTGGTGTTGCTACATGTTTGTTTGATGCAAAACTTGAAATCTGGCAATCAAATGCATGGTGGGCGAGAGGTAATAGTCTTTCCACAGAGCACACAGCAGAGCCAGGTAAGGTGGCACTGGGCTTCATGTCCCCACTCTTCAGTCAGGCAGCAATGAGTGTCATCACTGGTTTGTACAAACAGAAAAATTCTCATCAGAAATAATTACCTTCTTTCTGTCCTGGGACAATCTGGACTTTTTCATTATTACTGTTATTATACTGTGAACTAGATGGCAATAAGTGGAGTGAGGCCACACTAGAAAGAAGAATGCATGACCTTCATTTTTAAAAATGCTAGTGATCCAAACATAGTGGGAATAAGGTGCAGAAGAATGAAAGCTCCCATTCATTGGAGCTTTTGTAGCTTCACAAGGGAAATGTGTCTTAACACGAGTTTCATTCGAGGGGAATGCACACATGGATTAATCTATTAATTATAATCAAATTAAAGGAAAATGTTATCATATATTTTAAACAATCCCTGGCAGGGCTACTGCTATCACAATTAATGTTTTGAATTGAAAAAAGAAGTGAAACCATAGTTTTCACTCTTTGTCTGCTTTTGTGCATATGTGTTTAACTCGGATTAGAGTATGAATTTACTAGACTTGTCTGGTTCACTTTCCTTTACGGGCAGTGCAATGTTCTGGTTTTCATATACTATAAAAGTAGTGATGCCACAAAATTACAAGGGAAATGCTTCAGTCCCTCAGTATAGATATAATTAAATCCAACTAAACTATTTTCATTGCCTGAGATGAGGAATCTTAAATAAAATAAACAAGCCACTCAGCTAATAACATAAAGATCATTTTTAGCGCCATATTATCAGACCATTGATGAGAATTTTCAGTTATGTATTTAAATTCAAACCTTTTCTTTAACAAAGCATACAGTCATTTTCGTGTGGTATAATGTCTACAACCAACTGTACCTAACAGGACTGTAATCCTGTTGAGCTGCTGTAATGGCACGAACCGCAAAAGCAAAACCTGAGTGGTTTATCAATGTCAGCAAACTCCCAGATGGAATTACAGTCTTATGCACACTGTTCAGTTGTATGCTATTCATTATAACATATGACAAAAATTATGCTTCTATTAAAAATACACAGATGAGGATATGTGTTGCTGAAGGGGGCTTGTTTAAACAACAAAAATAATCTGCTGGTGCAAAGCAAAATCATTTTCAATGCGGGATGTGGCCTGCTGCACAGTATCTTTTCAGGCACATTTACAGGATGATGGGGATTGATTCAAACTCTGAAAGAAATATAGTACTTCAGGCTCGGTAGCATGTTTCTGGTTATGATTCCTCAGCTGCAGTTTTCTTCTGTTATCTGCCTCAGGGAAATCTGTCCATCTCTGAAGGAAGTATGAGCTGGAGCACAGCACTGGGATTCTCTGTGGAGTAAACCGTGTGAATCACCAGCCAGGGAAGTCCTTTGGGATCTGTCGGGACTTCCTAACAGTGTGGCAACACTTGTAGGATGTATTAAGGGTCATTATTTTGTAAAAATTAAAAAGTTCTATTTGCTATCCATGCAGTCACGTTTGTCATCTTTTAATAAAAGCCCCAGTGTGAAGTTCCTGGCCTGAAATTAGAACTGGAAAATGGAGTGATGAGAGAAGCATGGATTTTAGCTGTAGAGAGTAAAGTTTTTTTCTGAGCTCAGGAACCCCCACAGTATTTCAAGGTACCTTCAGTGCTTCTAACGCCAGAGGGTTCGTTCATCTGTAACTGAAGTAAATTGACTTGTCAGTATTTCTGATATTTCTTTGCTCAGCGGCTTCCCAAGGAAGCTGCTGACCCCATGGTAGGAGTCAGCCATGCCTCAGGACATGGGGAGAGCTGTTGGCTGTGGGGGTGCCTGTGAGGGTCTCGTAATTTACTCTAGGGATGCTATGAGATGGGCTCTTCAGTGCCCGGTTTAAATTCCCCTGAGCGATAAGTGATGGCAGCTGGGCAGAGTCAGGTCAATGTGGAGGACAAATTTCAGCTGCTGCCAAAAGGACAGCATGGAAACAAGGTTCGTTTGTAATACAGCAAGAGATTTTATGGGCAAAAACTAGGAAATTAGCTTCAGCTGGGTGGAAATACTGTCATTTGGTGAATCTTGGGTTTTCTTTGTTTTAGTAAAGCAGATTTTGCAGATTTCGTTCCAGTGATTCCTGAGAGCTTGTCTTTCATGCATTTTCCTCATGTAAATGCCCAAATTGAAAGCTTTATTTCAGGTAGGAAAAATCAGAATGTGAATGAGAATGTATATATTTAGTATTTTTATTTGTATTTGCATTCTGTAATTCCATGATTTATCGGTAGAAACACGTTTCAGGGAAGCACAAACACCACCATGATATGTAACAGTTGCAATATCTCACATTCCACTTTTTAAATCAAATGTCCTGCTTTGTACTGAATGAAGTATCTACTCCTCTTTTCCATAGCGAAATGTCTTATTATTCTAATGAGCCCTCTTGATACATTTCCATAACAGGCACACTTATGGCTGTGGGACCAAGCACAAAAACATAAAACTACAAATGAAATTTAAAATGAAATCTGAATTTGCAGAACGTTACCTATTTTCCAAGACAAGTACCAGATAAACAAAGCATCTTAGAGAATTGTAATTCAGAATTCAAGGGGGGAAAAAAAAAAAAAAAAAAAAAAACTTTAAAATTTTAAAAGCTTTCTGCAAGTGTGACTTTGTTAAACTTGGTCATTTTCATGAGGGGCCTAAAGCGTGAATAAAATGAGATGTGACACAGCCCCCTGCCCTGCTCCTTTCCAGAGCCACTCCATTCTGCTCCTATCTGCCTGCAGTGGGGTGTGTAACTCTGGAGAGAGCTAGAAGTAGCAGGTGAGAGGGTTAAATAAGCTTCTTAAACAGTTTCCATCCTGCCACTGCCCTGTGTTAAAATCCCTGAATTACTCACCAGCAAAGCTGTTTATTTCATTATTAAAATGAGGCTGCAGGGCTCTCCCTTCTCCCACCCACGCATGTGTTCACGGAAGGAGAACTACTCCCACATGATTACAAGGTTTGCTATTAAGTGTGAACTTCATATTTAATTGTAATTGCTAGCAAAATATAATTTAACAGCAAAGTATGCTGAATTTGTAACAAAGTACCCCTTTTATTTTGAGCAGGAATATGGATGCTGCCCAAATGTATCCGCATGGTTCCAATTAAGGGGAGGAATGTTTAATGTAAAACTCAACTTGATGAAAATAACTGAAGTTTCTGACAAACCAATAAATTGGAGTCTAGAAAGCTCTGCGTATACAGTACAGTCAGGGAGGGGCAACACCCGCTGGGTCATCAATTTTGGTGAAGACTTCCTGTTCGTTTATACTAAAATAATACTATGTAGGTAATTCAATTTCTCCCCAGCTGTAAACATAGGCTGGAATGCTGTACGCAGATCTGGCTGAGGGTGGAGGGGGGCCGGCACTCCTTACTGCAATTTCCAGGCTGAAACTGTGAGAAACTGAACCTTGGGTTCCTTTTATTTTTTTTCCTTTTATTTTGTTTTTAATTTTTATTCATTCACTTTTCTCCTTAGGCACTTGTGCATCAACAGTTGTTACAAGTTCCCACTCAGAAGACTTAGATGTTTACTGATGGAGATGTGCTCATGCAGACAGATTTCTGTAGGACCTCGTGAGGATGTGGGATAGGCTGCAGGGAGACTCCCACCCAGCCAGGTCTGCTCCTTTCGGTCTGTTGCTACTGGCAGTTCCAACCTTGAGGTTGTGTTTAAGTTCAAGGTAGTGCAGAAATGAAACTGTAATCTTAGATACAGCAATATAAAAATGGATGTGCCTCACTGTAAGAGATTATTCTTTTACATCATTGTCTCAAAGCTTGCTGAGGACACAGATGAACAAGTCCAAGCAAGTCCTGGGCAAGGGTTGAGAAATCCTTTGTCTGGAGAACACGGATGGACAAGTCTTGGGCAAGGGTTGTGAAATCCTCTGTCTGAGGGACACAGGTGGACAAGGCAAGGCCAGGGGAATCAAGAGAGAGATAAGCCACAGCTTAATGGCCATGAAGTGTGGACTTATATCAAGGAAGATGGCCATCTCAGGAGGTACTGCACATGACTCTTACCCAAGCACCCAGGAATGCTATGCTGGCAGAAGGATAAAAAGGGGACCTACAACCATGTGGTTGAGGTTTTTCTGGCAACAGATTCCTTGTGAAGAATAAGAGGTTTCTGACATGAATCACCCTGATCAGGATATATAATAAACTGGTCAGACCAACATTTGAACCGTTGTTTCTTAATCTCAAGCTGAGTATATTATATTAAAAGAACCTTCTCTCCCTCCTATAAATTGGAGCGAGACACCCACCAACTTCAGAGTGTAGTTATTTATTTGATATGTGCGGGGCCACATTCTCCCACAGGGAGCTGCTGCACATGGCGTATGAAATAATTGGCCAGCTCATCTTCCTCCAGAAGCAGGGAAGATTGGCTAGAAGTGAGTTCCCAGGGAGTTTATACAAAGGTGATAGATTATTAAGTGTCAGTATTTTCACTGCTGCTGTTACCAGCCTTGTTTTCTTGCAAAATTTGCCTAACACTGTAAAAGATTCACTTGTGCTTTAAATGTAGTAGGCTGAGTTATTCCCTCCCTCCCCCACCCCTCCGTGTCAATATCATAAGATTAGACTTCAAAACAGAACTTTGTAAGATCCATGCTTGCTAGAGATATTTAGTTCTCAGTGCTGCCAGAGCAAATTGTTCACTTGAGAAGAACGCCATGGACTTTTATGTTGAATTTCAGGAAATACAATCTGTACAAGATTGAGGACGTTGTTGAGAAGCTGACCTTGAAGGATCAGCTCTAGGTTTTTGCCAGTTACCTTACTCTCTTTCCATTTTCTGTCTGCTCTCTTAATGTAACTCCATTACAGTCAACATTTAAGTATCTTTTTAAGACTATAAGTGGGTTTTTTTTGTTTGTTTGTTTGTTTTTTGCTATTTTTCTTGTAACTTTACAAATTCTAAATGCTTTCTCTCAGGTAATTTTGAAATATGGTGACAGAAATATCGGCTGAATAATCAGCAGCAACTCAGAGGATCTAATATATACTTACAACTATCGGGGTATATTGTTCTATTTTCCCAGAAGCTTAATAATGAATAACAATAAACCTGGAGTGCTTATATTAATCTCTGTAGGATATTGCAGTTTGCACTTCAGTCCTGAAGCACTTTTTCAATGACAGCACCAGTTGGTTTGTGCCTTTTTCATTTCTTCTCTCCCATACAGGTCAGTCCATAAACCAGATGGTATTTCCTACTGCATGGGGACAGCAGCTAGAAGATAAAGCAGAAAGAAAACAGATCATGTTGTATTTTCTGTTGTTGAAATAATATCAACCAGGTTTGTGTATATAAACTATTTCTATGCTTTGGGAGACATTTTCTGTTGGTATTCCAGAACTTTAAAATGATATTTAATGGATAGTTTGACATCTGCGTGTGATATCTTTATCTTGTGAGTATAGACTTTACATGGTGCTTGATAAGCTCATCTAGGCTCCCTTTTCCTATGAATTATTAGATCTGATGACCTTAAAAAGTCCCTTCCAATCTGGGCTGTTCTGTAATTCACTGAGTCTAAACTTATTCATGCAATTGGACAAAACATAGCCTGATAGCCAGAAGTTAAAAAAAAATAGCATTTGGGCTGATTGCACACATCAGCAGAGATAGTGAAGAAGAATGGTAATGTTTTTTTGTATTTATTCCCTACAGGTAGGGCCTGCTGGCTACAGGAAGTGCAAGGACAGAAGGTCCAGTGACACTGAATGGTACAAAGCCAACATGAAAAATCATCAACCGTATCCTTTCCTCCAATGATGAGCTGGAAATAAGTTTCTGTGCTGTGAATATTTACTTGCTTTAGAGGAGCTTCCTAGCAGCTACAGCTGCATCACTTCTCTGGCTGCCAGCCCAGCTAATACCATGGTAATGCAGTCATGCAGTTTGTTCTGCAGCTAAGTTCCTATTTGAACATCTTTACTTCCTGAAATTGAAGATTAAACATCTCTCTTGTGCTTTTCTAAAGGCTTTACATAAATCATTTGTGTCAGTACACACAAGAGCAAATCCCACACTGCTGTCGGCGTGGCTGCTCCCCAGTACAGCTCTGCTCCTAAAGATATGTGTGGCATTTGTGGACCTGGCACTGCTACAATCAGGCTGAGGACTGATGTTAGCTGAAGTGAATCTAGTACTTAAAATGTCAGTAGATTTTGTGCTCTTAAAAGTGATGGACTAATACTCTTTGGCTTTCAACTAGAGAAACTAATATAAGTTTCTCCAGGTGTTTTTGCCAAGCTTGCTCAATCTTGGCCTATATTCTTTCTGCTATAGAGGCTTTAGTCTGAACTAGACCAAGTACTGATGAACATCCAGTTGGGAATAATCTTGCACTAGGATGGTGATGACCAAAATGACCTAATAAATCTTCCTCACCTTTACGTTCTATCTTTCCTTTTTCTCTTCTATTTCTCCCTGCTAGTTGGAGAGAATTTTGTGGCCTGTAGACCAAGAAGACAATGACAGACCTGTGGTCTTGGTTTTTCAGTGGTGAAAAGCCAGAATAGCTCAAAGATAGACTCACAGAAGAAGGTTTAACATTGATGTTTACATGGTCCTCAGGATATAGATGTTCTGCTGGGTATTCCTATCACTCTGACAAGCAGGCAGCATTTTGTTCTCTTCGGGATTTCCAAATGTTTGGGGTATTGGAGCAGAAGAAACTGTATCTTTCTAGAGATTATTTTTATGGAATGTATTATGAAAAGAGGTCCTTAGGAAATAGCAAGTCACCAGAATGCTTATTAAAATGACCTTAAGGTCAGATTCTGCCACTGTTAATCACAATAGTTGTTCCTTACTCTGTGAGCTTTCCCATTGGATTCAGTGGGATTACTCAAGGAATTTGGATACTACCTGGTGGGACCAAAGTGGCAGCAAGACTAGCCTTAATAATTGTAGCAGCTGTAACACAACATGCCTTTGTTTTTACCTTACCTTTTAGCTAGTTAAAAATATGTTGCATGACACTTGTTTTCTTTTGAGGATTCCTTTTTCAAAAAGATGAAATTTTATCTTGGAAATGTATTCTGTCATTTTTCGTCATCAATACCTCAATATATTTATTGTCATAGTGTGAAGTTGTGAAGACTTCTTTGCTGAGATATGCTTCAGATTTTGTCTCTCTCTCTTTTTTGTTTTAAAAAACTGTGTTATAGGAAAAATAAAATAATTTTATTCTGAACTCTCCTTGAAATCCTTCAGGCTTCACAAATGTATTTTCCAGGGTTTGTTTGTATTTCTGTTTTATTTTAAGCCACTTCTACTAAGTAGCTAATTTAGAACTGGGTAATACTTCCTACTCTTTCTGACATTGTAAGACTTGACTCAGAATTCCAAGAGCTGCATGAAACAGAGTGAGAATGCCACAGAATTCTGAATATAATTGGGAAACTTACCTATGAAGAGTCATTTACTTCCACAAATTGAAGTGATGAGAACTAATTCACACAATTTTGTGCACTGAGAGAAAAAGATGCAGGAATCTTTTTTTTTTTTTTTTTCTCACAGAAAAAGAAAGCAGATTTGGCCAAGCTTTCACTTTAATAAGTAGGTTCTTTTCAGGCAGTCACACCAACCACTTCATAGAGTGTTTGTGAGAACATTCTTAGCTTTGAGCATTAGTTCAGGTTGTTGAACTTGAACTCAAAGACTTGAGAAATGCAATAAGATATTTTACTAAAAAGAGCTTCAGTTTTTCAAAATAATATAGGGTTGTTCTTTTTTCTTTTTTTTCTTTTCTTTTTTTTTTTTTTTAAGCCAGTAAATTTAAAATTGCTCAAATACAATGTAATTTTGTGATAAACCTAGTAACGTGGACTGCATTGTAGAAATATAGGTCTTCACATCAGAAGAGTTAGGCTCTCTGCTAGCCCCATTCTCAAGGATGAAAATAATCCTGTCAAGTCTAACTGTGAAATAATTCACATCAGTCATTGAAACTAAACCTTTTGAAAAGACTTTAATAATGATTTGACTGTAATCAGGAGGGTAATGCAAACTTAATCCAGAAGAATCAAATCTCAGTATGCAAATAAGAAAATACATGGTTTTGTGCTGTTTTCCCATGTCCTCCTGCTGTGACTGCAGTTGCTGAGATGGGGAAACAACCATGATTACAGAAAATAAAAAAAACAATTGTCTAAAGTAAATTTAAGTTTGAACAATGTCACATGAAAAGGCAGGATTGTTTAGTGTTCTTCCTTGAGCTAAACTGTACTTTAAATGTGTATGTAAGTGTGAGTTATTCTTGCAAGTTTTGTGGATATAAGGGTGAAAAATCTGGTATAATGTTCAACTAAGCAAGAATAATTATTTCTTATTTGTTATTTTTCTCAGTGTAAAATGTTTTCCTCAAATAGAAGGAGAGCTGAAGAGATTTCTTGTTATTTTTGAACATAGATTAGTCAATGTGATCCATTAACAGGCAACTTCTATGCTGAAAATACTGCGGAACTATTTGGACAATATTTCTGAAGAATTACAGAATTCAGAGGAGTATAGAATTTGTATCACATTAGACTTAAAAGGAAAATGGAGATAACTACATTTATCATTTCTGGAGGGGAAAAATATCATCCATTCTGCTTTTGACAGTGCAAGGTTAGTTGTTTTTACTGTTGTTTTTACTGTTAGCTATAAATGTTTTTGTCCAATGCAATACTTAACAGCTCCAAAGTTGAAGGCTACATTACTCTCCTAAAGAGTTCTTTTGTACACCAGCATCTCAGTATCTGAGGAGTACTTCTTTGCCTTACTGTTAACTGTATGGTTTCTCTTGGTTATCCTATAGTGTTTCTTATCTTATAGTATTATGTATTTTTATGTATAATTTTTCACTCTAAGAGATATTTCAGATCTTTAAAATACTTACAAGTTACTTTTACTCTTGAAATAGCCAGTAGCCAAGTTATACTCATGCTGCTCTGCACATTTCATAGAAATACGGAATCACTGAATATCCTGAATTGGAAGAGACCCACAAAGGATCATTGAGTTCTACTCCTACCACCCAAAATTTAAACCTTATGTCTGAGAGTGTCCAAATGCTCCTTGAACTCCGTCAGGTTGGGACTGTGACCCCAGGCAGCCTATTCCGTGCCCACTGCCCTCTGGTGAAGATCCTTTCCCTAACTTTCTACCTGACCCTTCCCTGACACAGCTCCATGCCATTCCCTCTGGTCCCATTGCTGTCACCAGAGAGCAGAGTTCAGCGCCGTCCCTCTGCTCCCCTCCAGAGGAGTTGCAGGCTACCATGAGGCCTCCCCTCAGCCTTCTCTGCTCTGGGCTGAGCAAAGCAAGGGACCTCAGCCAGCCGTTCGTCATAGTCCTTGCCCTCTAGGCCCCTCACCATCTGTATAGCAGTGTTGTCTGCATGTGGTGCTAGCAATGCTACCCCTGCTGGATCTTTAAACTGGTACAAAGAGACTCTGCAAGCAGGACATTCATAACTTAAAATATGAAGTAAATACTTATTGGCTAATATAGTCACAAAAGATAACTTTCCAGTCTTTTGATGGAGTCTGGGATGATGCTTAGTGCTGTCCCAGCATAAACCAATGTGGGAAGCATGGGAAGAACAGAGAAATGCTGGTCAGCCATCAGCACCTAGAAAAAGTGCTTAGGAAAGGCCACTCTTTGGTCAAGTGTGGCTCTAATTGCCGCTATGTCTGAGGATGTGTTCCTTCCCTCAGATCGTCTGTGCTGGACACTGGAATAAGGGTCTTAAGGAAGATTAAAAGAAACCAATAGCAAAGAACTTTTCTTGGCATGTAGGGTTAAGTTTTGAGACATTTCCCAGGACGGAGAAGTCTTTTGGCTTCCATATGTGTAAGAGTATTTAGTCTCTTTTTCCTCAGACAGACAATCCCTGAGTTTCTCATTTCACAGTTTGCATTGGCTGGAAGCAAGAGGAGTTTATTATATTTAAATTTATTTATGTTATACTTGTGACTATTATATTTCTTAATATTTTAAAATGTCATAAACATTTCAAGTGCTGAAAGCTGAATCACTGCAAATCATAATAAATTCCAGTGTCCAAAAAGTAAATCAAAGTGGCATGTCCCCTCAGCCAGAAAGGCACTGTATCAGAGGAGTCTCCTTCAGGGGACTGGAGGAAACTTGTGAGTGGAGAGCAGTGCTCGGGTGCATAGGCATCCCACTTGAACTGCAAGTTGATTTGTGGACTCTAGAAATGCAATAAAACGATGGGACAGCACTTGGATTTTAAACTTTACAGGAGAGAGGACCTGTCTTTGCTACAAACTGATGCGGTGCCTAGCAGGGGATTCCCCAGTTCCAATGGCCTCCATCCCAACATGGTCCCAGCACAAAGTAGGAGATGGGAGCCTCACCTCAGCCAACTGTCCTGGAGGGGCATGGATGCCTTTGGAGGGAGTTTGGCACTTTCTCCTTCTACTCCCCATCCCCTTTGCACATCCTGCTTTGGTGGCTTCACAATCTCCTTGGAGTTTTTTTTTTTTTATCTACCCTGTTATATTGCACACTTACATTCATCTTTTTTTTCTGTAAAATGAAGTTGAGGCCTTGTGCTGAGCTGTGTGGCCCTATCAACCCCACAGTTCCTGTGAGTATCTGTTCCTTCCAGGATGACACAAGAGTATGCTACTGCCACTTTGATGTCTGCAACCCACACTTTTGCTCCAAAATGTATGTATTTGCATATAGCCATTTAAAATATCTCCTTTTACAGAAGGAAAGCAGTCCATCTAGGGGCATAGTGTTCCTCTATAGATGTTCTGAGTTATGAGTGCTCTGGAAAGTATTAGACTCTTCTGGATCTTTAAAATACAGAAGAGAATGATTTATTTCAGCACTTTTAATATATACTTTAACCCCTTCCATCTCATTTTACATTATGCTTGGTTTTGCTCTTATGTTGACCTTTATTGCCATCCTGGTCAGGTGAACCTGTTTGTCTTTCTCTATCAATTTTCCACACTTTGTAGTGTGTATTGCTTTTTCTTGATCTTGTTATTTATTACTCTATTTCTATTTTTTTTTCCTGCCTCTTTGCCACTGTTTGTGAAACATAATTTTGTTCTGAGACAAGTCATTTTTAGCCAACTTAACTTTATTCACTAGAATGCAACTCAAAATGGAGGCTAACCCCAGTACCGAAGTTTCAGCTTGTAGAAAATCTTTAAAATAAACCTGCACTATCACCGAAAATTTTCCTCAGACAGGGAAGAAAGAAAACATTTTCACTTTGAAATTGGGGATTTCAGAACAATTCAGGTAGACAGTAATTTTCCTTTAACCTTGCCTACTTAGATAGCATTAGCTGCTGGCAGGTGTAATGCTAATTTCTCCTTATGAATCAAGGCAGTGATGCTTCTGAAAAGGAACTCAACTGCTAATGCAATGCTTGTTGACATCAAACTGATCTCAGCGAGATTCGGATGATATTTCAAAGGGTATGTCCAAAGTCTGGCTTGCACATCATAAATCTATCCTTGACATCTGTTTTTCTTCTTGAATTTCTTTTACCCATGACTAGAAATATGAAAGCAAGCATGATGTTATGCTCAATTGGCATCTCAAATGCAGTTATCCTACCCTTGGCTTTTACTCACCTGATGTTTGATATGAACATAATTATGTGATTTTTTTTTCAGGATATGATTAGTCATAGAGTATTAGAAAATACAGCACTATGGTAATTATAACTGTGATATATTAGAAACAAAAAAGATTGTGAAAATGTTTATCTGTACAGTAACTTGTTGCTTAAACATAATTTCAGGAAAGTGTTTCTATGGAAAAGTGAGCTTACAGCTTAACACCAGTCACAGGTCTGCACCATGCTAAGAAAGGCACATTTCAGATAGAAAGTTAGGCGAGTGCATAGGTGTTTTTTGAAATGGAGACTTCAAGCATTAATGTGAGAACGGGATGTCGTAAGAAATCAGGATGAGGACTGTATGCTGTTTAAGGCTGTACCCAGCGATGTGTCTCTGGGCAGTGTAGTTCCACTATGTTCCTACACACTCCTATAGGTTCCACTCTGACAACACCATCACAAAAAACTCAGTTAGCAAAAAGGAGGAAAAATAAAGCAGAAGTTTTTCTTACCATTCAACCAGGGCACATTTGGCAGAATGTAATACGGCAGTTCAGATAACTGGGAAGTCAAGCTAGAGATGCTGTATGTAAT